GGGGGGGGGGGGTGAGTCCGGGGTTCCTCGCGTTGCCTGCCGTGTCCCGCCGCACTGGCCTTCGCTTGGCCTCTCCTCGCCGGGCCTCTTCCGCCTGGCCATTCGCCTCCGCATCTGTCCTTCACTGAGCCTCCGCTGGCCTTCTCTGGGCGCGTCTGCCCTGCCGCACCTGGCCCCCCGCATCTACATGTGCCGCAGTTGTCCTTCTCCACCAGTTGGGCCTCCGCTGACCTGTTCTGTTCTACCTCTCAGATCGCCCTGCACCCCGGCACCGTGCGCACCGAGCTCAGCGCCGACTTCACCGGCGGGCCCGGCGGCAAGCCCGGGCGCGCCAAGCCCAAGGGCGAGTTTGAGGCCGACGAGGCGGCGGCGAACCTGCTGCGCGTCGTGCGCGGCCTCACGAGGGACGACTCGGGCGGCTTCCGCGACTGGGCGGGCGAGACGGTGCCGTACTAGCCGCAGCGATGGAGACGGTGTGCATTGAAGTCTAAGTGCAGAGAGGCCATGATCTATAATGACAGCAATGATGGCGAGTGTGTATCGCCTCGCAGTGTGTGTCGCCGAGTGTGAAGCACGGGGCGAGGAGGTGAGGCGCGAGACGGTGTGACGAGTCAGGCGGTGCGAAGCGGCAGGTGCTCTTGTGGGTGCGGAGGCGGGCGACGGCAGACGGAGAGGGGGATGGAGGGGCTGGGGGCGCAGAGGGTCAAGTGCGGGATGAGCACGCGTTGGGGTGGAGTGTGCATCGCGGGGGAAGCGCCATGAGAGTGGCGGGCGGGGCAGACGGAAGAGCCAGGCTGAGAGCGTGACGGCCAGGCGGGGAAGCTTGTGACGGAGCGATCGTGGACTGAGTTGAGAGCGAGGGGTGGGCTTGAGATCGCGCGAGCGAGGAAAACGGGGGCGAGACAGGGCTTGCTCGGGAGCGGAGCGACTGGAGCGCCGACAGCTGACAGACGTAGGCAGCAAAAGAAGGCGGCCGCTCTCTCCGCCTGGTCGACCTTCGAGGTCTCGAGCGCTCAAGCTGCAGGCGCGGACAGCGACGTGGGCCGCCGATGCCGCACCTGTTGCGCATGGGCGTCGATTGGGATGGAGCGAGGCAAATGAGCTTTGGGGGGGGGGGGGCAGTTGCAGAGAGTGAGCGACGGCGATTGGTCGGGCTCGTGTGTGTGCTCTTAGGCGGCGAGCCAGTAGCCCGCGCGCTCCCACCACTTCATGCGCCGCTTGTCGCGCGGCAGATTTGCGTCTCTTCGATACGCATCACTGGCCATGGCGGGCATGTAGCGCGTGCTCGGCTTGTCCTTGCGCTGCTGCGGCTGCTGCTGCTGCGGCGGCTTCGGCTCGACATGCACGGCATCGAGCAGCGAGCGTCGTCGCGAGGGCGCCACGGCGACGCCAGGAGCGGCATACGTCGAGAGACGCTTGGCGCCGGCGTCGGAGGCGAGCGGCGCAGTGTAGATGCGCCGCGAGGCACGCGCTCCCCCGACGCCGCCGCCGCCACCGCCGCCGATGCCCGCGGCGCTGCGGTGGCTGCGTGCCGAGGCAGGGGGCGCAGCGACGGCAGCGGCAGCGGCGACGGCGGCGACGGCGGCAGGTGCAGCAGCAGCAGCGGCGTCGCCTGCCTCTTCCTCATCGTCGTCGTCGTCGGCTGCGTACAGCGAAGCAGTGTCTGCGGCCGTCGACGGCGGCGACGCAGAGGCGCGCGCAGGGTCGTCCGATGTAGTAGCAGCTGCAGCGGAGGAGGGCGCCTCTGCCGAGGGCGTCACACCTGCAGCAGCAGGTGTCGCTTGATGCGGCACTTGAGTCGCCTCCTCCGCCGCCGCCTCCGGCACGTCGAGCATGAGCGGCGGCAACGTCGGCGCAGTGCGCTGCACCTTGCTGGAGCGTCGCTCGCCGCCGTGCAGCGAGGTGCGGCTCTGCGCTCTCGCGGCGCTTCTGCTCGGCGTTCGCCTCTGTCCCATCTGCTGCTGCTGCTGCTGCTGCTGCAGCGCCTCCTCGCCTCTCGCCGCCGCCGCCGCCCTAGCATTCTCGTATGCCGGACTTGCCCTTCTCGGCGCGGCGTAGAAGAAGCATCCGCCGCGCTGCTCACTCTGCAGCGTGCCAAAGTGCGCGCGCAGCTTCGCCAGCTGCCGCAGCAGGTCGGCGTCGAGCGGCGCGCCGGAGGCGGCGTCGAAGAGATGCGCTGCGCTGCAGGAGAGGGAGGCGCTCGAGAGGATGCTCTGTGCGTCACCGCCGCCGCCGCCAGCACCGTCGACATCGATGGTGGAGATGCGACTTGAGGTGCCGCGTGAGTAGGAGCGACTTCGAATGGAGCCGTGAGCACTGAGCGTCGAGGAGCGTCTGTCGCGCGTGCCACTGAGCGGCGGTGCGGCCGGCATGATGCGCCTCTCCTGCTCCTGCTTGCCGCCGCCCGCTTCGCCCGGCCAGCCATGCGCCTCCCAGCGGGGCAGCCACTCTGCCCACGCGTGCGCCACGTACGTCGAGGCGGTGTAGACATGCGCGCAGCACACTGCACGTGCACCGCCGCGTGAGCCGTAGCGCTCGCGCAGCGCCAGCAGCGCCTCGACGGCCGCGAGCAGTTCGAGGCGCCGCGCGACGCGTCCGAGCGAGGGAGGCGCCTCGGCGTCATCGGCGGCGGCGGCGGCGGCGCCGCAGGAGGGATAGAGCGCGTCGTCGGGAAGCAGAGAGGCGGTGCAGTTGAGGGGATTGCCGCGCCCGAAATGCAGCGAGTAGGCGCCGACGATGAGAGGCGAGACGACGGAACTGCGGGGAGAGAGAGAGGAATGAGCCAGCCTGCCATGTGGTGTGGGCCCCCCCCCCCCGCAAACGACCCGGGCACGCCAAGAGAGGCTGCAAATGCCCCCCGCAGAGTGAGAGGCTCACACACGGCGGCACCAAAAGTGGAAGGCGCAATGGTCCAGACACGCGCTCTGCGCCTCGGTGTGGCCCCCCCAACTTTTCTTGCCTTGCCCGAGCCTGGCCCCCGAGCCCACACATGCGCGAAGCACGGAGGCGATGCTTGGACAGGCGCTTCGCAGTGGCCCGGCCAGGAGAGAGCGGGCGAGAGAGAGAGATTGGCACAATGCCCCTCCTCTGCCCCTCCTCTCCCCACCTCGCCCTCGCCTCGCCTCTCGCCTCTTGCTGCTCACCTGCCCTCGCCTCGCCTCTCCTCTGCCCCCTCCTCTCTTCCCCTGCCCCCTCCTCTCTTCCCCTCTCTCCTCTCCTCTCTCCTCTCTCCTCTCTCCAGCCCGCCAAACTCACCCCACATCCACGCCCGCGCCAGCAATGTGCACGTCGATGGGGTAGGCGCGGCACTGGTGGTCCTGGGCGCGCAGGCGCGGCGGCTGGGCGTGCGCGGCGGCGGCGGAGGGCGCAGAGGCAGAGGCAGGCGTGGCCTTGGTGCGCAGCGAGGGGAGCGAAGGGAGCGGCATGGCGGCGCGCTTGTGGTGGAGGGGAGGCAAGAGGCCAACACCGGAGCGGCTGCCTCTGTTGAGAAGCAGCGCGCAAGCAAAGCGAACGACGCGTCAGGAGGAAGATCGGGGCCGCCGCTCCTTCTTGCCGCCTGCTCTGCCGCTTGCGCTGCGCCATGTCATGCATGGCGCGATGAGGATGCGCAGATGGCGCGGCGCAGCGAGGCAGCTGCAGAACGCAGCGCAGATGCAGGTGCAGGCGAGACCATGCCCAGTCAGCACAGTGCGGCAGGCGAGCGCCGAGCAAGCGAGGCACGCACTCAGCTCCAGAACGCCGCGCAGCGCTCAGAGAGGCGCGCGCGCACGAGGCACCTTGCACTCTGACTTGCAGCACGGCACGCTCCCTGACGGCACCGCGCAGCCGAGCGGCGCGCGCCGCGCGTCCATCGTTGCCTCCACCACGCTCAAGTCACGCAGTCACGGCGCCGCGAGCGCATCGAGGCATCGAGAGCATCGCCGAGCAGCACGCAGCACGCAGCACGCAGGCAAGCGGCAAGCAGGCAGGCAAGCAAGCAAGCAAGTCCAGCGGCGCGAGCGCTTCACTCACACTCACGACGCCTCGGCTCACCGGTCGCGCACACACACGGGGGGCAAACACACACGCCAAGCGCGGCATCTGCAGCAGCAGCCCCCATCAGCATGGCCGCAGCGACGACGACGACGCGGCCGCCGCTGCAGCTGACGCTGGCGCTGCTCAAGCCGACGGTGTGTGCTTAGTGCGTGGGTGAGAGGAGCGTGTGCAGGGCGGCGGAGATGCGGGTGGCGCGTGGGCAAGGGCGACGCACCCAGGGCAGCGAGACGGCCCTGTGAGGCGCGCTCCGCCGGCGGGCGCCCCATCGCATTGGGGGGCCAAGTCACCGCGCCCGTAAGCCCGCTCGCTCTCGCGCAGAGACTGGCTTCAGCCTCGAAAGGAGCCCTTTTCATTGACCACCCAGGCCCCTCTCTCTCTCCCTCTCCCCCCACCCTCGTACTCGCAGTCAGCCCGACGTCTCACACGTGCTGCGCATGCTCAAACGCTCCAATCTCGAGGTGCGTGTGCGTGCCGCTCCCGGCTTTCGTTCGTTTCGTGCGGGCGCCCGCTTCTGCGGGAAAGTGCCTTCTTCTCGGTGCACCCCCCCCCCCCCCCCCCGGGCACCTCGCACGCGTTGCCGCCAAGCCTGACGCCCGCCCCCGCCCCTACGCACTCTCCTCCCTCTCTCTCGCTGCCTCGCCATCTCGCGCGCGCCATCTCGGCCATGCACACTCTTACGCTGCGCTGCGCGCCCACTCGCCCCTCGCGCTGCTGCGCGACGCGACACACAGATCGCACGCACGCGCCGCATCTTCTGGAGCCGCGCCGACGCCGCGGCGTTCTATGCCGAGCACGCGGGCAGATTCTACTACGACCGCCTCGTGCAGGGCATGAGCTGGTGCGTTTTCGTGTGTGTTGTGGTGGCAGAG